TATTAAATGGGAATCAGAAGGAGTGTGTGTACGTGTGTGTGAATAATTATATCATGGCTGGATGCCTGTTCACTCACTGTGCAGCCAATGATGAGCTGATTAACAAGGATTTTAATTATTCACCAAAACAAGGTGCCCTTTCACACACACACACACACTGAAACACCACAGTAGCAGACAGACGGTGGCATCCTGTGGCGCCATGGTTCTCTGCAGGCACTGAGATGTTCATTGTGCCCACCATCTTCTGTCTAAATGTATCAAATCATTGCAAGCAAACACAACATACTCTATGCATGCACGTCACACACACACACACACACACACAACTAAACGCACATGCACGCATGCACCAAAGAGCAAGCGAACACAGCTGGCAAATCCTCTGGTGTAACATCTGATGTAATTCAATTTTAGATGGGCTGCTGTATAACTTCTGAATATCTAAACGAACAATTCACTCTCTTGACTTCCATCTGTGGAGCGTTCGGTAGAGATGAACTGCAGCAAATTTGTTTGTGACAGAAAACCAAATGAAATGAGCTTTGCTGAACGCTTGACTGCACATCATGGCACTACAGAGGCTGAAATCATGATCTGGTGAAGATGTCAGCAGACATATTTTTGAGTGCAAAAGTACAGCGACAGCAAATGCTTAGATGATATTCTGGCAGCGGTGGATTTTATTAAATGAGGTCTCGCTGAGCTTATCTGTTACAAAATGTGTACAAGTTTAAATGTGACTGAAGAGCTTCCTAAGAACTTCCAAAAGTTTTGGTGTGCCCTATTCTGTGGCTGTGCTTTTCTTCTTCAAAGCAATGTGAATGACTGGAATGTAAATTTGCTAGAACAGCAGAGTTCAGTGAAACTGCTTTACACAGCTTTTGTTACCCATATCTGAAACTGGGTGGGTGACAGTTCATTGATTTGAATGTCTCTATGGAACAAAACAAAACAATGTTTTAATAAATTAATCTAATTAAACCTATTTAGAACAAATTAATGTTTTCGGGTGGGCAGTTGTCCCGTTTTGGTTTGCTCATGTCATATTCCATGTCTGTCATGTGATTCCCTGTTTGTCATGTGATCCTGCCATGTGTCTTTTTATTGGTTAATCAATCGTCTGTTCATTGTTCACAGGTTTCCCTTGTCTTATGCCAAGCACCTGAACTGAAGAGAATTATATACATGTATGTATATATATATATATATATATATATATGAAGAGTTCAGATGCAAAAGCCTCTAAATGCCATTTGAAATTTTCTTCTTTAATGATGATTTTTGTCAAGCTTGTATATTTAAGTTCAGTGATTTCACTTAAATGGCAATGATAATTACCTATTAATTGTTATTTAAGTGAAATTACTGAACTTAAATATACAAGCTTGACAAAAATCATCATTAAAGATGAAAATTTCAAATGGCATTTAGAGGCTTTTGCATCTGAACTCTTCATATATATATATAGTTTTTAATTTTTTTAATTATTATTATTATTATTATATATATAATTATTTTTGTTAATTCTAATATGAACTTATATTGATTTTCAGTTAATACTCACCTTTACTTCTGAACCTCGTATCCTCCAAATGGCACATACTAATTGTACCAATGTTTCTTCCTCTTAGATTAGAAATATTTTTTGAGTTCATTTGGAGTTCATTCTATTCTGTACATCTGAACATATCTGTTCTTTGTGTAGCCTACATTCTATTTCTTTCTTCTCTTTTTGTTCTTTTGGCTCTGGACTGCTATGTTCGAGGCTTGGCCACATATTACTGCTTGCGGCTATAAAACATTTTAATGTCATTAGAAATGATTTTTTTTTACCTGTCAGCATTACAATTCAAGTGAAAAGACTGATCATTGTATTAAAAAAATACAATCATAAATATACTTACATTATGTGATCTAAACAGTAATTGATTTTTCGTAGTTTAAAACACAATATAAATTAAATGAATATGGAAATTTGAATCAAAATGATATTAAGAATTTGTGTGACAAGTTGGGGAGCAGCACTGAGTGGACCAAGCTCATAATAATTAGGTGGGACCACCTTGGCCCAGATTTAATTGCAATGGATGACTAGCATGACTAGTCACCAAGGGGAAGAAGAGATGAGGGACACAGAAAGGAGCTGGTTCTTCATTTGTTATTATACTGACTCCCAGATCTTAATGCCAGAAAGAGCTCAGGGCTTTGGGTCTGAGGACAGCCGACTCACAGAGACATTTAGGCAAATACTAAAACAGATATTAAAGTGCAGGGTTTCCAGAAAAGGTGGCCCATGGCCTCAGGACAAAGTCAAACTGCTGGCTCCTTCCCAACATTTAAGTCTAGCATAAGTATGTTGACTACTTAAACTACTCAAAGCAGGCTACTGTCTTTGACTCTAAACTCCATGACTATGAAGTAGTTTTAGGTTTGTTGACCGATTACAGTTCATTATCACTTTCTTTCCATAATTGTTGCAAACTTTCTTCTTGCAAATAAAAATAAGAAGCCAAATAACTTACCATAAAGAAATATTAAATGGCACACATAGAAAAAGTTACATATTGATTAAAATTACTTTCAATCTAAAAATACTGTTTCCTATTTTTAATATTATAAAGGTAATTTAATAGATGGCAAAGTTGAATTTTCAGCAGCTATTACTCTTTTCTACTCCACTGTTTGGAAAAGAGCAGCTAGTACATTCTCAAAGCATCTTCTACAGAAATAAATTCTTAAAGGGGGTTGAACGACAAAAAGGTGAGCACATAATGATAGAATTTTGTTTAGGGTGAACTATCACCAAAAACAAAAAACAAAAAACCTTCTCCTTGGAAAAGGAGCTCTGTGGGTGGACTCAAGGGTCTGTTAAGGAGACTAACTGCTGCACTCCCAGCTCTAAAACCATTTCACTGCATTATTGATAAAGTATTGTAGTGTGCCAAATGGAGCGAGAAAATAAGACACCATGGATACGTGACATGGCTCATAACATTTCCAGCCCATAACATCACTTCTCTACTTCTCTTCTAAGTCTTACTGTAGAAAATGCAACAGATTACAACCTTATCCTGCATAACAATATGTGCTCGCCTAAGGGCCAAATGTCTGAAAAAGTGTGAGAACTTAAGAGACCTTTGTTCTTTTTAGGCAGTCTACTAAACAAAAGCCTGTATACAATCTCAATGTGAATGTCTCATCTCAATCATCTAAATAGCAATTGGAAGGGAAGAACCAAAAAGTTTGGAGCTACTGAAGCTTTCCACTTCCATCTCACCGTTCCTGTAGCTCTAAAAGTAGAGCATGCTGCTAGAGAACATGGGTTCATTTTCCAAATTGTGTTCTTGGATGCAGTTTAAGTCAATTTGGATACAAGGATCTGCCAAATGTATAAAAGTAAATAAAAACTGGCCCTGTTAGAATCAGATCCAGAAAGAAAAAGTAATGTGAGCAATGCAAAAAAAAAAAAAAAAAAAATAACACACAGGATGCACGCTAATACATACATTTCATGACAAGACTGACAGATAATCTCTTAAGTGAAATCCTCTGGTCTCAGCAAACAGACGTTTTCCATTTCCACACATGGCCTAGACTGGTAAGGCCAAAAGGCCTTGAGGAAACATCTCTTCTGCTCGAGAATTCGTGGAATTCATTAAATTAAAGCAGAGGAGTGAGACTCTATGCAACTTTCAGTGCCCTTCAACAAAGAAGAGGTCACACGGGTGTTTTGCGTGGGGCTGGGGCTAAGAGGGTCTTCTTGGCCTGCTGCCCTCATCCATTCATTAGACATTATGAAGCTTTTCCCACTCATGCTTCACATACCAGTCGCACTGTCCAGATCTCAGCCATGCCAATAACTGTACATAATAAAAATTAATTATGCAACCAAGGAGACCCTTGTTATAAAATTGGCACACTGCAAACCATAGAATTACCTGCTGGGTCACTGTTTCAACATTAATAATAACGTCCTCGAAGGCCAGATATAAAATGCAGGGCAATCCACAGTTTCTTTGAGCATCAGGAGGTTTATCACAGTTGCAAAACTGCCCAGGAAAGGCAAAAGGGAAGGAAAAAAGTCTGTTGGTGCCTCAGTTACAACTTCGCTCAGAGAAACTGACAATAACGGCTCTCAATCATGATGTCACACCACATGTTATAGCATCAAACAATAAGTAAAACCAAACTTATTTAAAAACCGAACACTTGAACTTACATCAGTGTATTAAAAAAACTACCTAAAATGACTAACCATCTTTGGAAAAAAATGATTTAAAGTGCAATTTGATTTTAGTTTTCAATTTAAATTTTCAATTTAGTTTGTCTCACGTCCCATTAGAGACTGAATCCTACATTATAATCTACAGTATGAAAAATGGACATTCATTTTGAGACTTAGATGCTTTAGATGATGACATCAAAATGCAAAAATAAGGATTGAGTATACAATGAAATATCAAATAAATAAATATAATGTTAATATCTTCTGAAATGGCACTGGATGGTTTAGAAGAAATCCTACAAACAGTAAGTTCAGCTCTGATCTTAATCATTTAAGTGTTCTCATAGTGCTAGAACAATATTATTTTCATAATTCACAAAAACACACACAGATCCAGCTTACATCATCCATTTTTAGTATATCTCCTTCATTGTATTTCAGGAGGATTGATCTGCAGTGTCAGCAGTGACTCACATTTCATTCTCTCAAATGGGTAAAATATGATCAAAGGGAGGGAGAATATAATACGGCCAATAGAAGATACTCTACAGAGTAGACAACAAAATCAATTGCAGTGTGATCTGAGCTAAAATTAAGTTCTGAAGAAGACAAAAACTGACAAGAAGATTGAAAAGAGGAGTTGATTACTTTTCATTTAATAGCTGCTTTCTGTCTAAAGTCCCTTACAATACTTCAATTGTCAGGACAGGCCCCAGGAGCAACGTTGGGTTAAGTGAGTTGCTTAAAAGCACAATGGTGTTGTCATCCATACCTGGGATCAAACGCATGACCTTTCTGCTTCCAGCTTGGATCCTTAATTACCAGCCAAAACCACAGAAGGCCTCTGAAAAGACTCTGAAACAAGGAAAAGCATTTATATATCAACTGGTTAAAACATTGTGTAACATTAAATCAGTTGAATATTATACGAATGCTCAGTCAGTTGATCATTTCAACAGTGTGAGCTGCAAAGAAGCTGAAAATGTCATTGGTGAAGGTTACAGAGCTTCTTTTTTTATCACTATGATCCTATACAAAGGAACATAAATCAGTTGTATTGACTTATAACACTTGGGACTTCTGATAGACTTAACATGAACGCCTGATCATTACATCTGAGAGAGAGAGGGGGGGGGGGGAGATGAAGGTGAACAGAAGGACTGGGAGATGGAATTTGATCTTAATAACATGAGAGACAGTGAGAAATATGATCTAAAGGGCCTTCACAAAGTGTTCAGAAGTGTCATACAATAACCTGTAATGACTAAAGGTTTTTTGGCTTTTTTTCACAAATTCATTCGGAATAAAATGTAGCTATTATTTACATTTGTTTTCATCTTCTTCAAAATCGCCCTTTTTTTGTAAACCACCAATGCTAGAATTATTTAATACAAAAATCAATGACAGATACATACTATCTTTAGTAAAGGGCTCTGGTTTGGTATGAAAATTTTTATGCTGTGACAGCTCTTCCTGCTGAAATGTTATCAAACTTTTATAAGGCAGCAAATAAAGTGTCCGATAGAAGTAGGCAAAAAGGACCTATATGCGTTTGAAGGCTAACGTTATATTCAAGACATACAGGTGAAACGCAAGAAACAACAAGGCATCCAAATAGAGGCAAAAGCATAACGTTACCGATCACAGTCAAAAACTGAACCACCGCATTTCCAACTAATCGAGACGGAGGCTGGGACTAACAATATCAGGGAGCAACACTGTTCATGCAAAGCTGGGTAGGTCTATAATCGTTATTACAAAGCAAACGGACTACACGAGTATAACGTTGTATATTTATTAGCAACGTGTGCTAGCGTATCAACAACCGGAATGAGAACCGAAATCATAACCTAAAACATTAGAAAACGGTCTAACTAGTATAACTTCACAGTAAGGTTAGAAGCAAAAAAGATGTGCTTGTTGATCTTTGAGGGGTTTAGCTGACCGAGGACGTCCACACAGTTTAATCCAAAGACAACACTTGTGAGGATTTGACTTCGGTTTTGGGAAGGGAAACAACGGACACCCCCCTCCAACCTCTCTGGGAAACGCGTATCTGTGTTACATATACCCCAGGCACAATGTTTAACCATATTTTGGATAAAACTACGACGGTAATACCCTGCCGAGACCAAAAATATGAGACGCCTCTGTTGAAAGTCAATGGAGCGCTGTGAGAAAGTGTCCGACCTCTGTGGGAGCTTGTTCTTGGCTGCGCTGTGATTGGTCAATGTACATTCTAGGGAGTGGCTTAGCCAAAGGCGAATTGTTGTCAGAACTTTAAACTACTAATAGTCCAAATGGGTTTTAATAGGATATCCAAGCTTAAAAATACCTTAAATCAAACAGTAAATGGAAGAGAAGCAAAAAATAGAAAAAGGCAACAAATAGTATTTTAAGGGACGGTTAAGGGATTGACATCAATAGCTACCCGCCAAATGTGGGTGGATTTCTGGTTGAATTTGATGTAATAAACATTTCAAACGTAGCATTTTAAAAAGGCATCTTAAGTAGGCCTAGTAAAATAACTTGTGTTAAAAATATTGATTTTTCAAGAAATATAGATACTGAATTATCAAATATATTTTAATATAAATCTTCCGCAGCAGACACAGCTGCGCATTCCCACTCTCTCATCTCTCTGACAGCGATTTGGCAAACAAATTCGAGTCCCTTTACTTCACAAATATTGCTGGTGTTACAATTTACAAGGCTTACATTTCCACGAGAGGTTGCGCTTATTGAGCATAACTTCATTTTACTCATTCCCGCAATTTATGAAAGCTGCTCCATCTGAAAGCACTATAGCGTGCATTTGAAAAAGCCACACACGTCAAACATATTTGCAAACATATGAATCATTTATGAACCTCCTCCTGTACAACAAAAGATCATATTTAATAACATGCTTTACTCAAAACTCACTTTATAATGACAGTGGAGCATCCTTCTGTGAGATGATGTGGCTTCTTGCACTGAATAAAGCAGTTGTGTATTTATAAGTAATGTTTAATCAACAATCAAAGCATTTCAGCAGGAGTGTCAAACTCAGTTCCTAGAGGGCCACAAGCCTGCAGAGTTCAGCTTCAACCCTAATTAAGCACACCTGATCAGCTAATCAAGCGCTGACTCCACGTGACTGTGACATATGCCATCAAAGTACCGCGAGAGCGATACGAGAGTAGCCGGAGGACTCAGCCAGCGCAGCTTCTCAAGAGCGGCTGCACGAGCTCTGATACTAGGTGTGTTCGACATCGCCTGCGGCTGGATGCAACCGATCGGCGAGAACAGCCGCGTGCAGGCGGGGAGGAGCTGCAAACGGAGACGTGAAGTCGAACAATAGGCTTGTTTGAGATGAGCAAATTCTGCGCAGAATCGATCACCGGTGATCAGCGCGAGATGCATGCCGGTTAGAAATGTGTCCGAGAACGGTCCGCCTGGCTTTGATGTCATGCCGACGTATGTCAAAAAACTCTCGCGAGCGCAAGGCGGAAGGGTCGGATTCTGCAGTCGCGCGCAGTTGCTCTCCACCGACTGCGCTGATCAAAAGCATGATGGGAAACGACTTGCTGACGACACAGCTTAATGCTCATTGGTTTAAACAACATGATGAAGGTAAATTCCATATTCATTAAGCTAAATTCTCCAAATCAATGCCATGTTTTTTTTTTTTTTTTCAAATTGAAACTGATATATATTGTGAATCTCTTAAACGGGTTAAAAATAAGAAAGCTATAGTCAGTAACTCAAATATACTAGGCCTACTCTAAAATGTTCAAGTGAAAAATAGCTCTCATTTTATAGATGATGAAGTTTGTAAGTCTGTCTATTTAAGCTAAGCTTATTTTGATTTATTTATTTTATTATTAATTTTATTCTGATGTTTATTTATTTGTCGCTGTATAATAGGCCTATTTGTTTCACGAATTGTGGTGCTTGTAGGTAGACTATGTTTGTAACTTGCATTCTAATAAAAAAGTAAAATAAATAAAAATAAAAGAACAACAGATAAATTGTTCTCTTTTAAAATGTTTGATTTTAAAACTGATATCATGTTTTATGTGTATACATATGGGTGAATAAACTCTCTGACAGTGCCATATGGGTTATATTTCATTTTTGTTAAAACAATAAACACGTCTGTATTAAAGAAAAAAAAGATTGATAAACACATATTTAACAAGTACTTTGGGTGTCTTGTTCATTATATTTATTTTTATATAAAAGCAACAGAACTTAAATCACATCCAGTTTATTAGCAACACGTGCACGAGCGTGAATCCCGTTAATCCCGCGATATCCGCCTTTGATCTCACAGGTGTCTGATTCACTGCGAGAACCGAGATCTGTCCGGCTTTATTGCGCTTTTTTCACTCCTCCCCTCACTGCAGCCGCCTACTCTCGACTACATTGCAGGCGAGGCGAGGCGCATCTCAAACAAGCCTAATTTCTGGTTCCCGTAGTGACGGCTCACGTGGTGTTTGCATGCTTATACCACAGCTGAAGTGAAATAAATGCAACATTTGCCAAATAAACAGATATTTCAGACACATTTTCATTCAATACTTTACTGCTTCATACAGCATCTGTTTGAACTAGAATAAAGTTCAAAATAAGCCTATAATCAATGACGTGGAATCAACGTTTTTTAATCAGTTTTATTTTGATAAACATGATAAACATGACACATATAACATTGCGACTACATGAAAAGAGTGTTTACTGTTATAAAATACTGATTTGTGAGCTTTAGTGGAACTAAACGTGTGAGAATAAACACGAAACGCACGTGATCGTTGTCATGCGGTGAATCCGGCGAATCGTGGAACAGCTGTGACATCATCAGAGCTCGTGCAGCCGCTCTTGAGAAGCTGCGCTGGCTGAGTCCTCCGGCTACTCTCGTATCGCTCTCGCGGTACTTTGATGGCATATGTCACAGTCACGTGGAGTCAGCGCTGCATCAAGTCGGACAAAATTTCTAACCGGCGTGCACTGCTTCAAGTCAGCTACCGATCGGTCTGCGCAGAGCTGCATGAAGTCGAACAAGCCTGATGTCACAGCTGTTCCACGATTCGCCGGATTCAACGCATGACAACGATCACGTGCGTTTCGTGTTTATTCTCATACATTTAGTTCCACTAAAGCTCACAAATCAGTTTTTTTTTATAACAGTAAACAGTCTTTTCATGTAGGCGCGATGTTATATTGTGTCATGCTTTTCATATTATGAAAATAAAACTGATTAAAAAACGTTGACTCCACGTCATTGAATTGGCTTATTTTGAACTTTATTCTAGTTCAAACAGATGCTGTATGGAGCAGTAACCTTTTGAATGAAAATGTGTCTGAAATATCTGTTTATTTGGCAAATGTTGCATTTATTTCACATAAGCTGTTGTAAAGCATGCAAACACCACGTGAGCGGTCACTACGGGAACCAGAAAGTGTCCGACTTCACGTCTCCGTTTGCAGCTCCTCCCCGCCTGCACGCGGCTAATCTCGCCGATCGGTTGCTTGCATCCAGCCGCAGCCGATGTCGAACACACCTATTCTGTTGTGCATCACTCACCGATTTTTTTTATCCAGTCCAGCCCTGGTGGCTAGTGAGCAAAAGCGTCAAGCCCTGATACCTATGAACGGAATGGAGTCAAGATTTCACAACGGTATAAAATCAAATAAATAAATAAATAAATAAAAAAATCATGCAAGTATTAGGCTAAAATTAGTTTAAATGACTCATGTGCTACATTCAATCTTCTTAATCTGAAGCCCTTTTTGTGTGAACTAATTCTTTTAAAGAAAATATAAACTACTAGTGTAACCTCTCCCTATAAGAGAAACGACTTTGCTAAAAATACAGTAGGCCTAGCTTATGAAGCTCAGCCAAAACCAGACTTAAACCCCAAATAAAGAAAAACCTGTAAACTACAGCACACACTGTAGATGGCAGAAATAACAGATCATTTAACCGAGCACAATGTTCAAATAAATGAAAACAGTTTTTAAAAAGGACAACCCACACCTACAAAAAGATTAAGATGCACCACGTGTCTGTTTGTGGCTATCGAATGTAAAATCCTCCACAGGACAAGGCCAAAAATCCAGATGATGAAGATGAGATAGGGATGGGTTTCCTGAAAATGGGAAAGAGGAGCATATTCTGAGAGATGAGTGTGGTGAGATGAAAGGTCAACATCACTGAAAATGTCAGACAAACAAGGAATATTTTAGAGGAGAGATTCAGACGGACAGACAATCTGTAACAGAGACTGTGATGCATTCATGATATTTTTGTTGATGCCACCGGTGCCAGGTTTCAGCTAGGATGTATAGTGATTTGATTGGGAAGAACCTTGTAAAAGTCATTTAGTGTAATTTGAATACAGTAGTGTTTATGTGAGCGAGATCCATTTAAGTACAAGATCAAGACTGTCTTCCCCGTTTATGAATGAAGGCAGCAGCAATCAGAGGATATTCTTTCTCTCGTTTGGCTGGCTCATGATGTAATCAAGTTCAGTTATGAGAGAGAATGAAACTGAGAAATGAAAGGAGTAATGCTTATGACTTCCATCTTTCACACAAGCTCAGAGGGATGCAGACTGGCTAATTTTAGAAGCTTACCTTCAAAAAGAGACAGAAACATATAGCCTAATCTTGATGGCTGCCACAACTGTTATGTCTCATTTAGACGGATTGTCTGTCCTCTTGTCCCTTAGATACATTAACTGTCATTTACTCTGCCTCTGTATATGTGTCCTGTTAAATTACTAGTACAGTCGTCCTTAAATTGATGGCACCCCTGGTAAATATGTAAATATGATAAAAACTGGCTGTAAAAAAAATAATTTGCATTGTTTATCCTTTTGATCTTTCATTAAAAAAAATGCCAAAAATCTAACCTTTCATTGAAGTAAAATAATTGAAAGTGTGTGTGCGTGGGCGGGGGCGGGGGGGGGGGATTCACATTATGAAATACAAATACGTTTGCCACAATTATTGGCACCCCTAGAATTTTTTATGAGTAAAATATCTCTGAAGTATATTCCCATTAATGTTTACTTTTTTAGCACAACAGGGTGACTATGAGCATGAAATTATCTAACTATGACTTCTTGTTTCATAGGAGTTTAAATATGAGGAAACACAAAGGCCAAATTCCCTTAATCGTGCATCACAATGAGTAAAATCAAAGTATAGTTCTGAAGTGCAGCAAAAGATTGTTGACCATCACAAAATAGAAAGTGGCTGTAAAAATTGAAAATCCCCATTTTGAGCATCAGGGCAATCATTTAGACGTTCCAATCAACTAACTAAAGATGTTACGAATCTGCCAGGAAGAGGACGTGTGTCTATATTGTCTTAATGCACAGTGAGTCAAAATGTCTGACAAAATGTCAGACACGACTGGAACTTAAAACGGCACAGCTGTGGTCAGGTAAAAATAAAAAAAAAATAGCTTTATGGCAGCAAACATGCTAGATGTGTTTGGTGCACACAAAGAAAAAAAGTACCCCATGTGTATAATTTAATAAACTGTTGGATCTTTAATTTTGTAGGCATATTTTTCTGCTGGAGGTCCTGGACATCTTGATACATCGCATCGTTTATCAACAGATAAAAATTAAAACCTGATGCCGTGGTTGAATCTTCCATCAGGACAACGATCGCAAACAAACATCAAAATAAACACAAAAATGTGTTAAGGAGCACAAAATTAAGCTTATACCATGATCTTCCTGGTTCCCAGACCGGATGAGTCGAGTGAACTGAAGAGACGAAGCACCAACATGGACCTGGGAATCTGAAGGTCTGGAGATGATCTGGAGAAATTCTGTATGGAGGAATGGTCTCTGATCTCTCGTCAGGTGTTCTCTAAACTCAGGCATGTGAAAACTCTGCGCAGTTATCTTGTCAAAAGGGGTGCCAAAAGGGTGCCAATAATTGTGGCCAACTTGTTTTGGAGAAAAACGTTTATTTCATGATGTGATTCTCATGGGTTAGATTTTTTTGAATGAAAGATCAAAATGATAAAGCAGATTTATTTTTTACAGACAGT